TTTAACCTCGCCCCCCCGCCAATCGGAAGCTCAGGGCTGCCCAAGACCCACCCCGCGCCTGCGCATAGCACACTTCCGCCCCGCCTCGCTTGGGGCGGAGCCGCTAGTGATTGCGCCCTCTAGAGGCCATTGGAGGCGTTGCAGTAGAGACTTGCAAGCGCCTCCTCCCCGGCCCCGCCCTGTCCTCATCAAGCGCACCCACGTGCACCCCAGCTCTGGGATGCTGGAGAATTAACCCAAAGAGAGAGCTGGCCCAGGCACTTTTTTTTTTTTTTTCTGAGATGGGGTCTCGCTCCTGACTCCCAGGCTAGAGTGCAGTGGCGTGATAGGTCCCTGCAACCTCTGCCTCCCAGGTTCAAGCCATTCTCCTGCCTCAGCCTCCCAGGTAGCTGGGATTACAGTTGCACACTGCTATGCGCCTGGCTGATTTTTGTGGAGTTTTTTCTTTTCTTTTCTTTCTTTTTTTTTTTGGAGACGGAGTTTCGCTCTTGTTACCCAGGCTGGAGTGCAATGGCGCGATCTTGGCTCACCGCAACCTCCGCCTCCTGGATTCGGGCAATTCTCCAGCCTCAGCCTCCTGAGTAGCTGGGATTACAGGCACGCGCCACCATGCCCAGCTAATTTTTTGTATTTTTACATGTTGACCAGGTTTCACCATGTTGACCAGGATGGTCTCGATCGGGGTTTCACCATGTTGACCAGGATGGTTTCAATCTCTTGACCTCATGATCCACCCGTCTCGGCCTCCCAAAGTGCTGGGATTACAGGCTTGAGCCACCGCACCCGGCCTTTTCTTTTCTTTTTAAGACGGGGTTTCACCATGTTGGTCAGGCTGGTCTTGAACTCCCGACCTCAGGTGATCCTCCTGCCTTGGCCTCCAAAGTGCTTGGATTACAGGCGTGAGCCACCACGCCCAGCCTTTTTTTTTTTTTTCAGACGGAGTCTTGCTCTGTCCCCAGGCTGGTGTGCAGTGGCAAAATCCTGGGATCCCAAAATCTTGGGATCATAGGCCTAAACCACCTTGCCCGGCCTATACCTGTTTTTAATTACATGTAGATTAAGGGAAAGTTCATGCAGAAATATCTAGGGAAGGGGTAATAACTTCTGGGTGGTGAGGTCATTGCCATAGAAATGGGCAGTAACTCCTGGGTGTTGCCATAGCGATGCCAAACTGATAGGGCACACTGGTAGGTGTGTCATAGAAAGCTGCTTCGGGCAGGGTGTGGTGGCCCACGCCTGTAATCCCAGCACTTTGGGAGGCCCAGGCGGGCCGATCACCCAAGGTCAGGAGTTCCAGACCAGCGTGGCCACCATGGCAAAACTCCATCTCTACTAAAAAATACAGAAGTTGATCGGGCGTTGTAGTTTACGGGCGTGGTATTTCACGCCTGTAATCCCAGCACTTTGGGAGGCTGAGGTGGGCGGATCACAAGGTCAAGAGATCGAGACTATCCTGGCCAACATGGTGAAACCCTGTCTCTACTAAAATCACACACACACACACACACACACACACACACACACAAATTAGCTGGGTGTGGTGGTGGGCACCTGTATCCCAGCTACTCGGAAGGCTGAGGCAAGAGAATCACTTGAACCCGGGAGGCGGAAGTTGCAGTGAGTCGAGATTGCGCCACTGCACTCCAGCCTGGCGACAGAGCGAGACTGCGTCTCAAAAAAAAAATAGACGTTAGCTAGGCTTGGTGACAGGCATCTGTAGTCGCCTGTAGCTTCTCAGGAGGCTGCGGCAGGAGAATCACTTGAACCCAGCAGGCGAGGTTTCAACGAGTCGAAGATTGCGCCCCACTGCACTCCAGCCTGGGCAACAAAACAAGACTGTCTCAAAAAAAAAAAAAAAAAAAAAGCTGCTTCTGCCTCCTCCCTGTTTTAGCTAGTCCTCAATTTGGGCCAGTGTTCAAGCCCCACCTCCAGAGTTGAGTCCTGCCTCCTACCTCAAAGGAGCTATATAAATTGTCCCACCACAAAATTTATTTTACAAGATAGCCTTGGTCTTAATTCATGCCTGAGAATTCTGAGTAAAATGCCGAAGTAACAAAATATGCAATCCCAATGCTTTCTGACCAAGCTCCTCTCTAGCCTGAATTCAATAGATCCTAACAGGCAGGAATATTGTCACCCCTGTTCAGCCTGAAGAAGTTACAGAAGATGGGTCCTCCTCCCTTCACAACCCTTAGGATGAAGGGTTCTCTTATAAAAGGGAGGAGGGAAATGTCAGAGGCATGTGAACCAGAGTGACTCCATCTTGAATAGGAGCTGGGTAAAATAAGGCTGAGGCCTACTGGAATGCTTTTCCAGGAAGTCAGACATTCTAAGTCGCAGGATAAGGCCAGGCACGGTGGCTCACGCCTATATTCCCAGCACTTTGGGAGGTCGAAGTGGGTGGATCACCTGAGGTCAGGAGTTTGAGACCAGCCTGGCCAACATGGTGAAACCCCGTCTCTACTAAAAATACAAAAATTAGCTGAGCATGGTGGCAGAAAAAAAGAGAGGCCAGGCGCGGTGGCTCACGCCTGTAATTCTAGCACTTTGGGAGGCTGAGGCGGGCGGATTGCCTGAGCTTAGGAGATCAAGACCAGCCCGGTCAACATGGTGAAGCTCCGTCTCTACTAAAACACAAAAAATTAGCCAAGTGTGGCAGTGGGTGCCTGTAGTCCCAGCTACTCGGGAGGCTGAGGCAGGAGAGCCGTTTGAACCCGGGAGGCGGAGGTTGCAGTGAACCCGGACTGCACCACTGCACTGCAGCCGGGACAGCAGAGCCAGACTCTGTCTCAAAAACAAAACCAGAAACAAACACAAAGGAGAAGCTATGTGTGAAGTGCTGTTCTGGAGTAATGACTGCAGACATAGGTGCCACGACTATGTATGTATGTATGTATTTAGTGGCAGGGTCTCACTCTGTCACCTAGGCTGGAGTGCAGTGAGACAGTCATGGCTGACTGCAGCCTCAACCTCCCAGGCTCAAGCAGTCGTCCCACTCCCAGCCTCCCTACTAGCTGGCACTATAGGCATGTGCCACCAAACCAAGATAATTTTTATTTTTGTAGAAATGGGGTCTTGCTGTGTTGCCCAGGCCAGTCTCAAACTTCCAGCCTCAAGGGATCCTCCCTACTGGGCCTCCCAAAGTGCTGGGATTAGGGGCATGCACCACCATGCCTGGCCTACTATGTAATTTAAAAGACCTGAGCAGGTAGAACCCAAGAGTAAATTCTAGAACAGCATTTTGTAACAGAAATCTCTGTTTTGATGGCAATGTCCTATGGCTCTGCTGTCCAGTATGGCAGTCACCAGCCATATGTAGCTACTGAGCGTTTGAACGATGGCCAGTGTGCCTGAGGAAATAAATTTGAAATATTAATTTGTTCTTTTTTTTTTTTTTTTTTTTTTGAGACAGAGTCTCACTCTATTGCCAGGCTGGAGCGCAGTGGCACAATCTCAGCTTACTACAACCTCCGCCTCCCAGGTTCAAGCGATTCTCCTGCCTCAGCCTCCCGAGTAGCTGGGATTACAGGCACATGCCACCACACCCAGCTAATTTTCGTTTTGTTTGTTTTTTTTCTGGAGATGGAGACTCATTCTGTCACCCAAGCTGACGTGCAGTCAGGTGATCTAGGCTGACTACAAACTCCATCTCCTGGGCTAAGCAATCCACCTGCCTCAAGAAGGATTGAAGCAGGATGATTCAAGCAACGCCCTCCTGAGTAACTGGGACTACAGACACGCCCCACCACTTTGTATTTTTTGTAGAGATAGGATCTTGCTATGCTGCCCAGGCTGGTCTCAAACTCTTGGGCTCCTGCAATCCTCCTGCCTCAGCCTCCCTCATAGTGCTGAGATTGCAGACGTGAGCCACCACGCCTGGCCAATTGATTCTAATTTGAATCACCACAGATGGTTCTTGATTGCTAAACCGAACAGCGTAGATCAGAAGGGCATTCCAGCCAGTGGCACAGCTTCAGGAAAGGCACATAGGCACGAAAACATTACAGCCCGAAGGGTGTGCATTAGCTTCCCATGGCTGCTGTAACAAATTACCTCAAACATACTGATTTAAAACAATACAAATGTATTTTCTTAAAGGTCTGTTTATCAGAGGTTTAAAAGTGTCAGCAGGTCTGTGTTGCTTCTGGAAGCTTCAGAGAGAATCTGTTTCCTTGTCTGTTTCAGCTTCTGGAGCTGCCTGTATTTTTCGGCACCTCCTCCCATCACTGTGACATCTGCTTCCGTTGTCACAGCTCCTGCTGCTGACCCTGACCCTCCTGCCTCTCTCGTAAAAGGACCCTTGTGATTCCATGGAGCCCACCCAGACAATCTAGGATAACCCCCCCCCTTCTCAAGATCTCTCACTTAATCTCATCTGCAAAGTCCCTTTTGCCATGGAAGGTCACCTGTTCACAGGTTCAGGGGGTTAGAATGTGGACATCATCAGGGGCCATGATTCTGTCTGCTATAGGGTCTGAGAAGCTAGAGAGTGTGTCCAGGGGTGGAGAGAAGCCTTGAATGCCGAGCTAAGGAGCCTGGACATGGCCTTTCGTTCAAAAGAGATTCGTGACCTGTGAACCTCTCACCACCTCGGCTCTGTTACCCAGATCCAAATGACTATCACCTCCTGCTCGGACCCCGGCAGTAGGCTCCTCTCGGGGCTCTTCACTGCCGCCCGCATAGTCTCATCTCTACCAGCAACCAGAGGGAGCCTATTAAAATCTTTTATAGTTTTCATCTAGTTTTTAATTTTTTGAGACAGTCTCACTCTGTCGCCCAGGCTGGAGGGCAGGGGCGAGATCTCAGCTCACTGCAACTTCCGCCTCCTGAGTTCAAAACGATTCCCCTGCCTCAGCCTCCTGAGTAGCTGGGACTACAGGTGTGCGTCACCACACCTGGCTAATTTTTGTATTTTTAGTAGAGACAGAGTTTCGCCATGTTGGCCAGGCTGGCTTTGAACTCCTGATCTCAAGTGATCCACCCGCCTCAGCCTCCCAAAGCGCTGGGATTACAGGCGTGAGCCACTGTGCCCGGCCCTTTATTCCTTTGTTTATAGTCTGTCTTCCTCCAGTAGAATGTCAGCTCCCCGAGGGCAGGATATGTGTCTGTTTTGGTCACTGCTGTATCTCCAGTGCCTCAAAAGGCCTTGCACATAGCAGGTGCATGATGGATGTCTGTTAAATGAAGGAAGGAATAAAATGAAGACAACATGGAGCTCCTGGATCCAGCCATGCCTGAAGCCAGTGTCATGAAATGAAATAGGAAGATACACATCCACAGTGTCTCTCCAGCCTACACCTCCATCTCTGACACCAGATCATGGCTGGTGGATTTCTTGCTGTCCACACCTTCGTCCCTGTCCTGGGACTCCCTCAGGGCCCAGTGACAGGCAGCTGGCAGTGAGTGGTGGAGTTGAGCCCTCCGGAAATACAGGAAGAGCATGGGATTGAGGCAGCTGTGAGCGAGGGCAAGGCCCACGACCAGGGGTTCAGCCCGCAGGGCCCTGGCCAGGAGTGCGGAGTTCGGGGCTGCCACTGGTGAGCACCAGCCCCAGCAGGTGGTAGGGTGCCCAGCAGACAAAAAAGCCCACCATGACAGCTGTGCCCAGCGGCCAGCGGTATTGAGCTGCCCGGCACAGGAGGGCAACGTGGCAGCTAACCATGGCCACCAGGGGCCCCAGGAAGCCAAAAAGAAAGCGGACGGCAGTCACGGCATTCTCGGTGCGGGAGGAGCCGCGGTAGTCCACCACACACTGCAGCTGGCCCGGGAAGGGATCCTGGTGCAGCCGGCGGTAGACGGCGGAGGGCACGGTGAGTACCAAGGCCAAAGTCCAGGCCGCCCCACAGGCCACCTGCACCCTGCGCGCCCGCTGAGCCATAGACCACCAGGCAGGCCCGACAGCCAGGAGGCAGAGGTCTACACTGAGCGCTGCCAGGAGCAGGACGCTGGCGTACATGGTCAGCAGGATGACGGACGGCAGCGCCTGACAGCCCAAGGCCCCGTACGGCCAGTGGCCCCCACGGGCAATGGGCACCGCCAGGATGGGCAGAGACAAACAGCACAGCAAATCCGCCAGGGCCAGGTGGAGCAACCAGGTGGCACCCACCCTCCAGCAGGCCTCCTTCCCCATCACCCAGGCCACCATGGCGTTGCCTGGCACCCCCACCAGGAAGATGGCGACATACAGCAGGAGGGGGGCCACGCGCAGCGGGTGGATGGTCAGGCAGGCGCCGTCCGGGCAGTCCACTGGGTGGTCCGAGAGGTCGCTGTAATCCCCATAATCGTAGCTGACAGAAGCATTCTCCATCCTGGCTCCCGGTGTCTGGGCAGGAGAGAAACACGATGAAAACTCAGAGGGGGAAACTCCACTGTCCCTGGAGAGCTAGGGTGTCCATCAGCCTGGCCCACCAGCACCTTGCCAACTACAATGTTTCCGCGTAAGAACTCCAGCGTTTTAGAATGTTGGAATTCTCTGTCCGGGCGCGGTGGCTCACGCCTGTAATCCCAGCACTTGGGAGGCCCAGGCTGGTGGCTCACTTGAGGCCAGGAGTTCAAGACCAGGCCAACATGGCAAAACCCCATCTCTAGTAAAAATACAAAATTCAGCTGGGTGTGGTGGCGTGTGCCTGTAATCCCAGCTACTTGGGAGGCTGAGAGTTGCTTAAACCTGGGAGGCGGAGGTAGCAGTGCACTGAGATCACACCACTGCACTCCAGCCTGGGCAACAGAGTAAGACTCCTCTCAAAACAAACAAACAAACAAAAAGTAGCTCGGTGGCATCTTGGAATTCTAGAATATTCCAAAATCCCACATTGGAATATTGGGGCTGGGCATAGTGGCTCAGTCCTGTAATCTCAGCAATCTGAGAGGCCAAGGTGGGAAGATTGTTTGAGGTCAGGAGCTCTAGACCAGCCTGGGCAACACAGGGAGACCCCAGGTCTACAAAAAAATTTTAAAAACTTAGCCTGGCATGGTCATGCGTGCCTATAATCTCAGTTACTGTGAAGGCTGAAGTGGGAGAATCACTTGAGTCTAGGAGATTGAGTGAGCCTGACTGTATCCCTGCACTCCAGCCAGGATGGCAGAGTGCACCGGCCCCACCGGCCACCTGCACCCTGCATACCCGCTAAGCCGTAGACCAGCAGGCAGGCCCGAGAGACAGGAGGCAGATGTCAGCACTGAGAGCTGCTAGGAGCAGGACGCTGGCATACGTGGTCTGTCTCAAAAAAGAAACAAAAGCTGGGCGCGGTGGCGCGTGCCTGTAGTTCCAGCTACTCGGGAGGCTGAAGTGGGAGGATCGCTTGAGCCCAGGAGTTCTGGGCTGTGGTGAGCTATGCCGATCAAGTGTCTACACTAAGGATACAGGCTTATGCCTGTAATCCTGAGGGGTGGATCACCTGAGGTCAGGAGTTTGAGACCAGCCTGGCCAACGTGGTGAAACCCCATCTCTAGTAAAAGTACAAAAATAGCTGGGTGTGGTGGCAGACGCCTGTAATCCCAGCTCTCTGGGAGGCTGAGGCAGAAGGATCACTTGAACCAGGAAGGCGGAGGTTGCTGTGAGCTGAGATCGCGCCACTGCACTCCAGCCTGGGCAATGGAACGAGACTCCATCCCAAAAAAAGAAAAAAAAAAAGAGTTAGCAAGGGCCACGGCATGTAGGGCCATGTGTGCAACACAAAGACTTCATCATTTATTCCAAATGAGACAGGTACTGTAGCACGGTGCTGAGAAGCGACATAATCTATCATAGCTATATATATATATAATTTTATTTTATTTTTTTTTTTTTGAGACAGAGTTTTGCTCTGCCTCCCAGGCTGGAGTATGGTGGCAGGATCTCGGCTCACCACAACCTCTGCCTTCCGGGTTAAAGTGATTCTCCTGCCTCAGCCTCCTGAGTAGATGGGGTTACAGGTGCACCCCAACACACCTAGCTAATTTTTGTATTTTTAGTAGAGACAGGGTTTCGCCATGGTGGCCAAGCTGGTCTCAAACTCCTGACCTCAGGTGATCCACCCGTCTCGGCCTCCCAAAGTGCTGGGATTATAGGTGTGAGCCACCACGCCCAGCAGTAGGTGAATTTCAAAGTGTGTCAGTTCCGCCACGGAACCCCATGCCCTGGAATATTACATCTCCAAATCTCCGGCTCTCGAGAGCTGGCAGGCAGTACAGCAAAAGGCCTTGAGCAGCCCCGGGCTCCATGACTGTGGGTGACACTTGCAGCTGGCCGTGGCAGTTTCCTCATCGGGGAAGCAAGTCATCGGGGTGAACCTACCTCTCTGGTTTTGGGAGGCCTTGAGGAGTCAGGATCTATCCAGCACGTGGTGCACAGCAACGCTCAGGTAGACGAAGCTGTGGGTAGCCCAGGACCCAGGAGTCTCCGCCCCCCCAACCCCCACAGTGTCAGAATGACCTGGTCCTGTGACTGCTGACTATTATGGGTTGGCTGGCACTGCCCAGAGCTCCAGCTGCTATTGAGGCAACAGGAAGGACAGAGAGGAAGTTGGGGCACTTCCCTCCCCTCCCCCACCCCAAGTAGCAGTGAACAGGCCAGGCTTGTGGCGTGTGTGTTTGAAGCCTGGCATCCCACTTTCAAATTATTTTTATCCCTAGAGAAAAGGTGTACAGAATTTAGCGAGGTTCAGTGGCTCACGACTGTCATTTCAGTGCATTGGGAGGCTGAGGAGGAAGGATTGTGTGTGGCCAAGAGTTCAAGACCAGCCTAGCGGCCGGGCGCGGTGGCTCAAGCCTGTAATCCCAGCACTTTGGGAGGCCGAGACGGGTGGATCACAAGGTCAAGAGATCGAGACCATCCTGGTCAACATGGTGAAACCCCGTCTCTACTAAAAATACAAAAAATTAGCTGGGCATGGTGGCGCGTGCCTGTTATCCCAGCTACTCAGGAGGCTGAGGCAGGAGAATTGCCTGAGCCCAGGAGGCGGAGGTTGCGGTGAGCTGAGATCGCACCATTGCACTCCAGTCTGGGTAACGAGAGCGAAACTCAGTCTCAAAAAAAAAAAAGACCAGCCTAGGCAGCATAGCGAGACCCTCTGTCTCTACAAAAAAATTTAAAAATTAGCTGGGCATAGTAGTTCATGCCTGTAATCCCAACATTTTCGAAGACTGGGTGGAGGATTGTATGAGCCCAGGAGTTCGAGGCTGCAGTTAGCCATGATGGCGCCACTGCACTCTAGCCTGAGCAAGACTCTGTCCTAAAGAACGGAAGGAAGGGGAGAGGAGGGAACGAAAATGTGCAGCATTTTAAAACTGAATCCCCTCTACCCGAGTGCAGTGGCTCACACCTATAATTCTAGCACTTTGGGAGGCCGAAATGGGCAGATCACTTGAGGCCAGCAATTCGAGACCAGCCTGGGCAACATGGTGAAACCCGATCTCTACTAAACATGCAAAAATCAGCCAGGCATGACAACAGATGTCTATAATCCCAGCTACTGGGGAGACTGAGGCAGGAGAATCACTTGAACCCCAGAGGTGGAGGTTGCAGTGAGCCGAGATCATGCCCCTGCACGCCAGCCTGGGTGACAAGAGCTAGACTCTGTCTCAAAAACCGACCAAACAAACAACAACAAAAGATTCCCACCAGCTGTGTGGCCTTGAACAAGTCACCTAACCTATCTGTGCCTCAGTAAAATGGGAATAATAATACATCCACTTTAGGATGTGCTGTAAGAATTCCATGAGGGCCGGGCGCGGTGGCTCACGCCTGTAACCCCAGCACTTTGGGAGGCCGAGGCGGGTGGATCACGAGGTCAAGAGATCGAGACCATCCTGGTCAACATGGTGAAACCCCGTCTCTACTAAAAATACAAAAAATTAGCTGGGCATGGTGGCGCGTGCCTGTAATCCCAGCTACTCAGGAGGCTGAGGCAGGAGAATTGCCTGAACCCAGGAGGCGGAGGTTGCAGTGAGCCGAGATCGCGCCATTGCACTCCAGCCTGGGTAACAAGAGCGAAACTCCATAAAAAAAAAAAAAAAGAATTCAATGAATTAGACACTGTCTGGCTAAGAACAGCGCTGGATTTCAGTGGGTTTCACACGTGCGCTAGCCGCTCTTACTGCTGTCCACACACATCCTCTTACCCTGCAAAGACTCCACCCTACCCAGCCCTTGTTGATTACAATCCAGGAAACTTTCTGTGAATCATAATTTGCCGAACTGCACGCCCAAAGCAATGCTATGGGAGATAGTGTTTTCTTTGTAATGTTTTAACCAGAAATGAGAGCTTTCAACACCCATTGTTCCATCTGTTCATCTTTTCCCATTGATGTGCCCAAGTTCCGTTTTTCTGTCTATCGGTACATTCATCCTCAAAGCCTCAAAAACAGTCCACTGGCTGCACAAGTCATACTTATTAACTAAAGGCCATTCAATAACAATAATGAGAAATTTAGAATTTAATGAAAAATTATGGTTATAATCAGACTTCCGGGTTCAAGGGATTCTCCTGCCTCAGCCTCCCAAGTAGCTGGGATTACAGGTACACCCCAACACACCTGGCTAATTTTTATATTTTCAGTAGGGACAGGCCTTCGCCATGTTGGCCCAGCTTCTCTCAAACTCCCGACATCAGATGATCCACCTGCTTTGGCCTTCCCAAGTGCTGGGATTACAGGCATGAGCCACCATGCCCAGCAGTACATAAATTTCAAAGTGTGTCAGTCCCGCCGTGAAACCCATTATTTATGCAATAATGAGGAACAGGGCTGGTGCAGCTCCCACCTGTAATCATAACACTTTGTGAGTCCTAGGCAGATGGATTCCTTAAGGCCAGGAGTTCAAGGATAGGCTGGTCAACATGGTGAAGCCCCATCTCTACTAAAAATGTTTTTAAAAATTAGCTGGGTATGGTGGCAGGTGCCTGTTATCCCAGCTACTGAGGAATCAGAGGCAGGAGAATCCCTTGAACCTAGAGTGTGCAGTGAGCTGAGATCATACCACTGCACTCCAGCCTGGGTCACAGAGTGAGACTCCGTCTCCAAAAAAAAGAAAAATTGGATTTGGTTTAGATGATTTTGTCTTACTGTAGGGTAATGTAAGTATTCTGAACACATTTGAGGTAGGCTATGCCTGTGAGGTCAAGGCCAGTGAGCCAAAGTCACACCACTGCACTCCAGCTGGGACAACAGAGTGAGACCCTGTCTCAAAAAAAAAAAAAAAAAAGCCTGGGTGCGGTGGCTCACGCCCGTAATCCCAGCACTTTGGGAGGCCAAGGAGGGCAGATCATCAAGAGGTCAGGAGATGGAGACCAACCTGGCTAACATGGTGAAAACCCATCTCTACTAAAAATTTAAAAAATTAGCTGAGCATGGTGGCACACACCTGCAGTCCCAGCTACTTGGGAGGCTGAGGCAGGAGAATCACTTGAACCCGGGAGGCAGAGGTTGCAGTGAGCCAAGATCGCACCAGTGCACTCCAGCCTGGGTGACAGAGCAAGACTCCATCTCAAAAAAAATAAAAATAAAAATAAAAATAAGGAAAAAAATTAAAAATAAAAAAATAAAATAAAATAAAGGTGGGTTATGGTGTTCGGTAGGCCAGGTCTATTAAATGCAATTTGACTTATGACATTTTCAACTTATGATGGGGTTTTGTTTTGTTTTGTTTTGGTTTGGTTTTGTCTCAAGACCACGTCTCGTTCAGTCTCCCAGGCTGAGTTCAGTGGTGCAGTCTTGGCTCACTGCAACCTCTGCCTCCCAGACTCAAGTGATCCTCCTGCCTCAGCCTCCTGAGTAGCTGGGACTGCACACCATCGCATGCCATCGTGCCCAGCTAATTTTTTATTTTTGTAGAGATGGGTCTCTCTGTGTTGCCCAGGCTGGTCTCAAACTCTTGGTCTTATGCAATCCTCCCACCTCAGCCTCCCAAAGTGCTGTGATTATAGGCATGAGCCACTGCACCCGGCCTTATGATGAGCTGATAAAGAAATGAACGGTCGTGCCGGGCGTGGTGGCTCAAGCCTGTAATCCCAGCACTTTGGGAGGCCGAGGCGGGTGGATCACGAGGTCGAGAGATCGAGACCATCCTGGTCAACATGGTGAAACCCCGTCTCTACTAAAAATACAAAAAAAAAAAAAAACTAGCTGGGCATGGTGGCGCGTGCCTGTAATCCCAGCTACTCAGGAGGCTGAGGCAGGAGAATTGCTTGAGCCCAGGAGGCGGAGGTTGCGGTGAGCCGAGATCACGCCATTGCACTCCAGCCTGGGTAGCAAGTGTGAAACTCCATCTCAAAAAAAAAAAAAAAAAGAAAAAAGAAATGAACCGGTCGTAAGTCAAAGAACGTCTGTACTTACATCTGGATTATAAAGCATAGGTACCATTCTTATTATTTCATAATAATTAAAATCATTGATGGCTTTATTGAGCACCTATGATCAACAGGATATAAACCTCATCACAAACCCTTGAGGCCTGTGGGAAGCAGAAAATTTTCTTTTTTTTTTTTTTTTTTTTTTTTTTGAGACAGAGTTTCGCTCTTGTTACCCAGGCTGGAGTGCAATGGCGCGATCTCGGCTCACCGCAACCTCCGCCTCCTGGGTTCAGGCAATTCTCCTGCCTCAGCCTCCTGAGTAGCTGGGATTACAGGCACGTGCCACCATGCCCAGCTAATTTTTTGTATTTTTAGTAGAGACGGGGTTTCACCATGTTGACCAGGATGGTCTCCATCTCTTGACCTCGTGATCCACCCGCCTCGGCCTCCCAAAGTGCTGGGATTACAGGCTTGAGCCACCAGGCCCGGCAAAAATTTCTTTTTTCAAGTTTCCTTTCTTGGTAAAGAATAAGTGTGCTAATAGCTTTGTTAAGCCCTATCCTATGTAGCTGTTAGACATGCCATGTTTACAGGCACCTAGTACATTCTATGTCCTTGTACTTTAAACAGGATATCTCTGCTGGACATGCTCACAGGCATGTCCCAGCTCTCCATTGCTTTTTACTTGTTGAGAAAAGTTTTAAGTTATTAGCCAATCGGGTTTTAGTTTAGATTGTGAGGTCTGGCTCCAACCAACGGAGATCAGACCCAGCAGTGAGGACGACCCCAAATGCATAAGGGATAATGTGTGTATTTTCCTTTATTCATTGTACTCTCGTGGCAAGATGGCTAGCGAGGGTACCCTTCCTGCAGTCCAGGAAGTAAAAATTGTGTTGCTGAAAGATCCTTTATCTCAGTGCTGATTTTTCCTTGCAGCACCGAGCGTCTATTTCCAGCATCTGTTTCCAACAAGGTCAATATTATCCTCCTCACTTCCCAGCCCCTTCCAACCTTGGGTGCTGCTGTGTCCCCAGCATCCGGGACAGAACCTGGTGCACAGCACAGGCACCGTCAAGATTTGGTAAATGAAAGAATAAAAGAGTAAACTGAGGCACAGAGTGACTAAGTGGTCACTTACGTTTCGTTTTGTTTCTTTCTTTCTTTTTTTTTTTTTTTTGAGACGGAGTTTCGCTCTCGTTACCCAGGCTGGAGTGCGATGGCGCAATCTCGGCTCACCGCAACCTCCGCCTCCTGGGTTCAGGCAATTCTCCTGCCTCAGCCTCCTGAGTAGCTGGGATTACAGGCACGTGCCACCATGTCCAGCTAATGTTTTGTATTTTTAGTAGAGACGGGGTTTCACCATGTTGACCAGGATGGTCTCGATCTCTTGACCTTGTGATCCACCCGCCTCGGCCTCCCAAAGTGCTGGGATTACAGGCTTGAGCCACCGCGCCCGGCTTTTTTTTTTTTTTTTTTTTTTTTTTTTGAGATGCAGTTTTGCTCTGTTCTAGCTCTGTCATCAGACTAGAGTTCAGTGGTGTGATCTCAGCTCACTGCAACCTCCGTCTCTCTGATTCAAACGATTTTCCTGCCTCAGCCTCCCAAGGAGCTGGGATTACAGGTGCTTGCCACCACACCCAGATAATTTTTGTATTTTTAGTAGAGACAGGGTTTCACCATGTTGGCCAGGCTGGTCTCAATCTCTTGACTTCATGACCCGCCTGCCTGGGCCTCCCAAAGTGCTGGGATTACAGGCGTGAGCCACCGCGCCCGGCTGGGCTTCTTTCGTTGTGACTGCCTCTTGGTGCATTCCTGTCTGTGGATCCAGTCTTGCTGGATCTTCCGCTCTGGGAAACCCTGGAGCAGAATCAAAGAAAGCTGAACATTCTTTCTTCCTGAACATCCATCTTGGAGGATTCCTCCCTGGAGACCTGGCAATCCACCTCCCTCCCGGGAAAGTACACATATCCTCACCAGAACACACGTGCCGGAATGTTCACAGCAGCCAGGTGGGAAACCTCTCAAGAAGCCACCCACAGCAGAGTGGATGAACACATCACGGGATGTTCACACTGTGGGATAGTCTACACGATGAGAATGAACAGACCCCTCAAGCATGTGGACGGATTTTGTGACAGAACAAAAGGTGACCAGGGCAGTGGCTCACGCCTGTAATCCCAGCACTTTGGGAGGCCGAGGTGGGTCACCTGACATCAGAAGTTAGAGAATAACCTGTCCAACATGGTGAATCCCTGCCTCTACTAAACATCCCCCAAAAAAATACGGCCAGGCATGGTGGCTCACACCTGTCATCCCAGCAGTTTGGGAGGCCGAGGTAGGTGAATCACCTGAGGTCAAAAGTTGGAGACCGGCCTGGCCAACATGGTGAAACTCCTTCTCTACTAAAAATACAAAAAGTACCTGGGCGTGGTGGCACACACCTGTAATCCCAGCTACTCGGGAGGCTGAGGCAGGAGAATTGCTTGAACCCAGGAGGTGGAGGTTGTGGTGAGCTGAGATCACACCACTGCACTCTAACCTGGGCAACAGAGCAAGACCCTGTTGAAAGAAAGAGAGAGAGAGAGAGATAGAGAGAGAGAGGCTGTAGCATGCCTAGCGAGAGAGCCCTTTCACTCAGTGATGTGATTTCGGTAGATTTGCCCGAAGCTACAGGAATTCCTGTGGGTTTGACAGAGTCTGTTTCCTGCATACCTGTGTGTGAAAAAAAAACATTTGGATCCTTTGACCGGAACTTTGCTACTGGGCTGCCCAAGTTAATTCCAAGAGTCCAGGACTCTGATGTGCATTCCGATGTGGCTCTAATAAGACTTCCCTTCCCAAATTCTGCTTCTGCTTCCCAGGTTCTGAAAGTCACGATTCCAAGAAGCCCAGATCATACAATCCCTCCCTCTGCCGCCTTCTGGCCCTTGTTACCTCCATCCTTACCGTCTCTTCCAAGAGGGTCCCCTTGCGGGTCAAACGCCAGTTGGGAGCGCAATCCGGGCCCACGGCCAGCACCTAGGAGGTCTGGGGTCTCTCCCCGCCGGGTCTGGCAGCTGGTAGAGTCCTGGAAATCCGTCCTGTGTGCCAGGGCTCCTATGGGACGCGTCTGAGCACCGCCACCTCACTGGTCCCAGCTAACCTTTATAAGGAGTAAAATAAATAGGAGTGGCCTTGTCTCACTCCCAGGGTGTGTTTGTCCTGACTTCCCATGAGTCACAGAACCCAAAATTACCGGGCAGCTGGCAAGGCCAGAGAGGGCTCCGATGGGTGGAGGGCTGGTCCCATGTCCCCAACCCTAGTCTGGAAGTCCCAGCTTCCCGGAAGCCAGACCTGCGTGTGGCTCGCTCGTCAAGACCTTAGAGGTCGTGGCCTGGCTTCTGTCTACCCACAACATGCAACTGCCCCCAGCCACCTCCAGGCCTCCAGTTTTGTGCCCAACCCCTCCCTTCCGCAGCCTCAGGACAGATAAACATCCCTCCCTCCTTGTCCGCTCTGAGGAAGGCAGCCCAGGATCACATTCTCCACGCAAACACTACCGCAGCCAAGCGCAGGGCCCAGGGCTTCAGCGGCAGGCAAAGCACAGACAAGTCCTGACTCCTTCCTTGGGCCTCATCTGTAAAATGGGAAGATGTTATTGACAATAACATCTTCACTATGGCCAATAACATAACTCTTGTTTTTTTTTTTTTTTTTTTTTGAGATGGAGTCTCACTCTGTGGCCCAGGCTGTAGTGCAGTGGCGCGATCTCGGCTCACCACAACCTCCACCTCCTGGGTTCAAGCAATTCTCCTACCTCAACCTCCTAACTGGGGTTATAGGCATGTGCCACCACGCCTGGCTAATTTTTGTATTTTTAGTAGAGAGGGGGTTTCACCATCTTAGCCAGGCTGGTTTTGAACTCCTGACCTCATGATCCACACGCCTCGGCCTCCCAAAGTGCTGGGATTACAGGTGTAAGCCGCTGCATCTGGCCGATTTTTTTTACTTTTTTTTTAGGGATGGAGTCTCACTCTGTCACCCAGGCTGGAGTACAGTGACAAGATCATGACTCAAACTCCTAGGCTCAAGTGATTCTCCCACCTCAGCCGCCCGAGTAGCTGGAACTACAGGCATGCATCAACACACATGGCTAATCAAAAAAATTTTTTTGTAGAGGTGGGGTCTTGCTGTGTTGCCTAGCCTAAAGCAATCCTCACACCCAACCGCCCAAAGTCCTGGGATTACAGAAGTGAGCCAACCTGCCCAGCCATCATAGCAATTCTTTTTCTCTCTCTTTTTTTTTTCTTTTGAGATGGAATCTGAGTCTGTCACCCAGGCTGCCAGGCTGGAGTGCAGTGGCACAATCTCGGCTCACTGCTCTCTACCTCCCATGTTCAAGTGATTCTCCTGCCTCAGCCTCCCAAATAGCTGGGATTACAGGCACGCACCACCACAACCAGCTAATTTTTGTATATGTAGTAGAGATGGGGTTTCATCATGTTGGCCATTGATCACCTGACCTCATGATCCAGCCGCCTGGGCCTCCCAAAGTGCTGGGATTACAGGTGTGAGCCGCCGCACCGGCCACCATAGCAATTATTCATCTCTTCTAGCATACCACAGTGGCTAAAAACAAAAACTCAAGAGCCAGAATGATAAGATTCATATTCCAGGTTCACACACCCTCATCAAAGCTCAGAGCCTCAACCCCTCTGAGCCTCAACATCCTCATCTGTGCAGCGATGGTTGATGGTTGCTATGAGCATGGGATAATTTTTTTTTTTTTTTTTTTTTTTTTTTTTGAGACAGAGTTTCTCTCCGTCACCAGGCACCAGGCTGGAGTGCAGTGGCACGATCTCGGCTCACCGCAACCTCTGCCTCCTGGGTTCAAGCAATTCTCCTGCCTCAGCCTCCCAAGTAGCTAGGACTACAGGCGCGTGCCACCACACCCAGCTAATTTTTGTATTTTTAGTAGAGACGGGGTTTCACCATGTTGGCCAGGATGGTCTCAATCTCCTGACCTCGTCATCCGCCCACCTCGGCCTCCCAAAGTGCTGGGATTACAGGCGTGAGCCACCGCACCCGGCGCATTGGATAAATTTAAAACTCACAGAAGTGGCCGGCGTGATAGCTCATACCTGTAATCCTAGCACTTCGGGAGGATCACCTGAAGTCAGGAGTTTGAGACCAGCTTGGACAACATGGTGAAAACCCGTCTCTACTAAAAGTACAAAAATTAGCCAGGTCTGGTGGTGGATGCCTGTAATGCTAGCTACTCGGGAGGCTGAGGCAGGCGAATCGCTTGAACCAGGAGGCAGAGCCCGCAGTGAGCCAAGATCATGCCATTGCACTCCTGCCTGCATGACAGAGCTAGACTCTGTCTCAAAACATAAAAATAAATAAAAATAAATTTAAAAAACACACAGAACTATGCCTGGGCTGGGCATGGTGGCTCATAGCTGTAAATCCACTACTTTGGGAGGTGGAGGCAGGTGGATCACTTGAAGTCAGGCGTTCAAGACCAGCCTGGACAACAGAGCCGAAGACCGTCCCTACTAAAAATACAAAAAGTGGCCAGGCATGGTGGTGCATGCCGGTAATCCCAGCTAATTGGGAGGCTGAGACAAGAGAATCACTTGAACCCGGAAGGCGGAGGTTGCAGTGAACCCAGGTCCTGCCATTGCACTCCAGCTTGGGCAACAGAGTGAGACTCTGTCTCAAAAAAAAAAAAAAAGAAACCCAGAACAGTGTCTGACACAAAGTATATGCAGGTGCATGTTTCTTTCTTTTCCTTTTTTTTTTTGAGACGGAGTTTCGCTCTTGTTCAGGCTGGAGTGCAATGGCGCGATCTCGGCTCACCGCAACCTCCGCCTCCTGGGTTCAGGCAATTCTCCTGCCTCAGCCTCCTGAGTAGCTGGGATTACAGGCACGCGCCACCATGCCCAGCTAATGTTTTGTATTTTTAGTAGAGACGGGGTTTCACCTTGTTGACCAGGATGGTCTCGATCTCTTGACCTCGTGATCCACCCGCCTCGGCCTCCCAAAGTGCTGGGATTACAGGCTTGAACCACCGCGCCCGGCCGGTGCATGTTTCTTAACAGCAACCAAGACTATGTTATAAATTCCTTGTGTGTGTGTGTGTGTGTGTGTGTGTGTGTGTGTGTGTGTGTGTGATGGAGTTTCGCTCTTGGTGCCCAGGCTGGAGTGCAGTGGTGAGATCTCAGCCCACCACAACCTTCGCCTTCTGGGTTCAAGGAATTCTCCTGCCCCAACCTCCTGAGTAGCTGGGATTACAGGCATGTGCCACCAGGCCTGGCTAATTTTGTATTTTCAGTAGAGACGGGGTTTCTCCATATTGGTCAGGGTAGTCTCAAACTCCTAACCTCAGGTGATCCAGCTGCCTCAGCCTCCCAAAGTGCTGGGATATTACGGCTGTGAGCCGCTGCGCCCAGCCTGCTGTGAAATCTTAACGTGCACACACCATGCAGGCCTTAGCAAGAGGAAGCGGCTCCAGCCCCAACCTTGGAAACTCTTTCTTCAGCAGTTCTTTTAGTTTGTGGTTTTTTTCTGTGTGTGCTTTAGGGATTCAAGGGATACATTTACATATTTCTTTTGTTATTGTTGTAGAGAATGTAATCACTTTGCTAGAGGAAGCTGTTACTGATACCGGAGGCTGGGACTCACCGTCTGACCCAGGGTGCCCTCCGCTCTGTTTCCCTCTGTAGGTGACCCTGTGTTGGCCGACCCCCACCCCGGACCCCCAGAGAGAAAAACATCCCCCCAGTACCCTCCCTTGGTCTCTGTCCCAGAAGACCCCCTCCTCTCCCACATCCTGCCAGCCCCAACGCCCTGTGGGAATCGGCCCGGCCAGAAGAGATTAAGGGGAAAGAAACCGAGGTGGAACCTTCCCTTTATCAGCTCAAACTTTCTTTCTTTTTTTTTTTTTTGAGACAGAGTCTTGCTCTTGCTCTGTTGCCAGGTGCCAGGCTGGAGTGCAGTGGTGCAATCTCAGCTCACCGCAACCTCTGCCACCCAGGTTCAAACATTTCTCCTGCCTCATCCTCCCAAGTAGCTGGGACTACAGGCGTGTGCCACCATGCCCAGCTAATTTTTGTATTTTAGTAGAGAAGTTGACCATGTTGGCCAGCATGGTCTCGATCTCTTGACCTCATGATTCTCCCTCCTCGGCCTCCCAAAGTGCTGGGATTACAGGCGTGAGCCACTGCGCCCAGCCTATCAGCTCGAACTTTCTTGGACTTGAAAAGTTTGCGAGGGTCTGTTGCTCAGATGGCCTCATCTCTGTAATCCTTATCCGGCCACTAAGTTTCTCGTCATACGAGATTTCTTGGATTCCAGCCGAGCAGGATGGCTCATGCCTGTAATCCCAGTACTTTGGGAGGCTGAGGTGGGAGGACTGCTTGAGGCCAGAATTTTGGGACCAGCTTGGTCAACAGAGTGAGGGCTGAAGCCCAGGAGAATTGCTTGAACCCGGGAGGCAGAGGTTGCAGTGAGCCAAGATCACACCGCTGCACTCCAGCCTGGGCAACAGAGCAGGACTCCGTCTCAAAAAAACAAGAACAAACCAAATCTTTTTTTTTTTTTTTTTTTTTTTTTTTTGAGACGGAGTTTCGCTCTTGTTACCCAGGCTGGAGTGCAATGGCACGATCTCGGCTCACCGCAACCTCCGCCTCCTGGGTTCAGGCAATTCTTCTGCCTCAGCCTCCTGAGTAGCTGAGATTACAGGCACACGCCACCATGCCCAGCTAATTTTTTGTATTTTTAGTAGAGATGAGGTTTCACCATGTTGACCAGGATGGTCTCGATCTCTTGACTTTGTGATCCACCCGCCTCGGCCTCCCAAAGTGCTGGGATTACAGGCGTGAGCCACCGCACCCGGCCCAAATCTTTTTTTTTTTTTATACAGGGTCTCACTCTTCATTCAGATTGGAGTGCAGTCATGTGATCACAGCTCACCGCTCACTGCAGCCTCCATCTCCCAGGTTCAAATAATTCTCCTGAGCTGGAGCCCCAAAAGTAGCTGGGACTGCAGACTCCAGTCGCCCCACACAACTGATTTTTTATTTTTTATTTATTTATTTTTTAGAGACAGGGTCTCACCATGTTGACCAGGCTGGTCTCGATCTCTTGACCTCGTGATCCGCCCACCTCCGCCTCCCAAAGTGCTAGGATTACAGGCATGAGCCACCGCACCTGGCCCAGCTAATTTAAAAAAAAAATTTTTTTGTAGAGATGGGGTCTGTCTCTGTTGCTCAGTCTGGTCTACAATTCCTGGACTCAAGCAATCCTTCCACCTTGGCCTTCCAAAGTGCTGTGATTACAGGCATGAGCCACAGCATCTAGCTGCCCAAAATTTGTTTTAATTAGCCAGGCATGTTGAAGCAAGCCTGTAGTCCCTGCTACTC